CCACCACCCAAAAAGAAATTCCTGACTGTCAAGTTTTATTGCGGATTCCGACAGATCTCAAAGAGCGCAGTCGGATGCCGCAATCAAAAAAAAAAAAAAAAAAAAATTGGGCATTTTTTGGGGGCATCTGGTTTTGCCGGTTCACCCCCCCTGAACCGGGGCAGGTGATCCTGCCGGTTGCTGGCCCAGCCTTGCTCTGAATCTAGAATCATTAGAAAATACTCAGGTCCCGGGCCACTCTGGTCCTAATAGAACATACTCTGAATCTAGAATCATTAGAAAATAGATCGCAATATATGCGCATATGCAAAAAAGTTAGCACGCAATTTTTATTTTTTCTTTCCTAGTGAAAGCACCAGTCCCACGTAGCCGGTTTCTACGAACTGAAATAAAAACGACACCGGTCGACGCCGCTGAGCCTGCCCAGCACGAAACGTCACTCCTACTTCGGAGACAGCCATGACCTAATTTACATCCCTGATTTTCTCCATTATTTTTCATCGCTGGAAATGAGAAACCCATCACCAAAGTTGAGGTTACTCAGAGTTCCGAGCACCCCCAGCAGCCTCATTTTTTTTCCAAGCAGGGAAAGGTACTGGTGGCTTAATAACACTTTTGAATAGCAGATGAATGAATGGATAAGACTTCTGTCTGGATAGAAGATATAAATGAATAATAAATTATTAATAAATTATTAATAAATTATTAATAATAGATAACCCTTCTGGATGGGACATCAATGAAGGGTTGAAACTTCTGACAGACAGAGGACACGGCTGCCGTAGGCACTGTTATAGGTAAAAATGGATATAACCCTAAGGGCGTCGCGGCACGGCACACCAAACGAAAAACGAAATGAGTCCATCTTCCCAAAGAAATGGCCAGGTTCATCGGCCTGCTATAAACAGTAACAAGTGTATTTTGCCACATTTCGTGGGCAGACGCGCTCGTTTCGTTTTCGTTTCGTTTTTTGTGTGTCGTGTGCTGAGGCCCTAAGGGGGCCTAAACCTAGGCTACCAGAGTGCCCCGGGGTCACTTGCCGGGCCGGGCCAAAAAAATAAAAAAAAAATAGAAATAGAAAAAATAGTTTTAAATTTTATTTTTTATTCTAAATTTGATGAAGAATTTCGATGTGACCCTGAGGAAAAAGTTGTTCAGTTTATTTTTTTCCATAACATAGTTTTTTTCGGATTTTTAGGTTTTTTTTTGTTGCTGGGACCTTCCCTGGTCCTTGCACGGGCTGGCCACCTGGGACCCGGGCGGCCCGGCTGGTAGCCTAGGCCTAAACCCATTAACGAGTATGGACAAAAGTCGCAAAACGGACAATAAGTAGACAACAATTAAAAAACCACGTGCTATTTCTTGCCTGACTGGGCGTGGCTGTACAAGTCCCCGCACGGGGTGTGACACCCCCCAGGGTACCCGTAGCGATAAGTAAGGTCTTTTTTTTTTTTTTTTTTTT